TCTGAGTTTATGCCTGTGAAGGAAAATGAGTGATCTTCTGAAGCTGTGGTGGGAGTGATCTTCTGCCACTCTGTATTTAAGTCAGCTGCTACTAGCATTAAAAATAAGCCCAGGCTATTTCCAGCTTAAACTAGAAAAATGTAGCAGTAGTGCCACAGGGAGTATGAATGCTGACAAATGGGAAGGAAGGGAGCTGACGCAGATGCTGCTCTGTTTGGTACCTTGAAAGAGGCAGTTTGGTAGGCATCAGGCCATCCTTTCTTACTGAATTTGCTGAGACCTGAAAACATCTGTGAGAAAAGCAACTAGTTCCTGTAAACATTTTCCTTCACTGTCTTGCTCATGCATATTTGGGTGAGGTATCCTTTGTAATTTTTTAAATCTTTTTCCTCCTTTAAATGACTTCCGTAATCTTCTAAATAGCTGATAGAAAGGAGTTGTTAAAGAGTTTTTAGCAGCTTTCCTGTAAAAAAAAAATTAGACACTGTTGCAGTTTATAATATAATAGTATTTTATTCCTGCATTCACACTCACAGGTCAGTGTTTTGGATCATCGTAGAATGGTTAGGGTTGGAAATGACCCTAAGATTTAGTTCCAACCCCCCTGCCATGGGCAGACGCCTCACACTAGACCATGTTGCCAAAGGCTCTGTCCAACGTGGCCTTGGCTGACAGGGGTGGAGTGTTTACGCCACTTCTTTGGGCAGCTGGTTCCAGTGCCTCACCACCCTCGCTTGAAGCATAAGCAGTATTTTCTGTTAGTTATTATATTTATGAAAAACAAGCAGATTAGGTAGCTTCTATAAACATTTTTTTTTTCCTTGAAAATATTGGTTTAAGGTTTTTTGTTAGCTTTTTGATGAATCTATAGGGAAAGAGAAGATTAGGAATGGGACTGTTACACTAATAAAACTGCATCTCTCTGCTACAGACGTTATGTGAAACTGGCAGAAGACCCTGGTGCTGAATTTGTGTTAAAGCAGGTCTGTTTGCTGCAGTGGCGGGTACTGTTGCTGTATTTCCAAATTGTTGGAAAATCATCTCTCAGTTTTCCAAAACTGTTGCAAAATTGTATGTGTATTGCTTCCTGTACATGCTGCATTGCCATTGTCCTTTAACAGTAGCGTTGATGCTTACTCCTTAAAGAGTGTTTAAATCTGTAACAGCTGAGTGACTAATCATCCTTGTGGAGAGGTAGGAACTGTCACAACTTTATATTTGGAAACTGGGACACAGAAATGGTGATCTGCTGGAGCTATACCGGAAACCTCTGGCAGTGCCAGAGACTACTAGTCACGGTTGTAATTCAAGACTAATCCTTTCCGATAGGCATATAACACATCACTCTGAACCAAATTTGGCTTTCTGTTTCTATGCAAAGTCGTTGGAATTTGCTGCTTGGGCATTTATTTTTTTTTCCTTAGGCCACCTGTAAAGTGAAAAACTGTAGGAGCTGACCCCAAGGAAGTGTGGGTTCTGCTTTGATGGGGCTTTAAGACAGCTTGGGATGCAACTTGATGTACCTCTTGGTAAAGGAAGGCACTACTGAAACTGAATGTAAACAAAAAAAAAAAAAGGTAATATAGAAGTAAAACAAAAAATAAGTATTTCAGTAGAAGGAGTATTAGAAGCATAAAGCCCTTATATATTAAAACTTTACAGAATACTTAAATTCTACAATTCTAGTTAACCTCTGTAAAATGAAACTGAGCAGGGATTTTACCTTCTTGGTGAGAAATGAGGGAAAGCAGGGGAACAATTGAGCTGGTTTCTTAAAAATTGCTGTCTTTAATTGACTCATGGAAATGGTGACGCTTCGTTTTGATGTCAGGAGTTTTTCAGATTAAATATTTCCCCGTTGCAGAGTAGCTGCTCTTGATGGCTGAGCTGAGAAGGCAGGAAGGGTGCTGTGTGTTTCTGCTGCTGAGTCGGAGGCTTTAAAAAATAACAATTAAAAGAAGAAAAAAGAGCTCCTCCCTTTCCTTGAATGAAATGCTTCAACTGTACTCCAAATATCACAGCCCATGTGCCTCTGCTTGTTTAGGTGACAGTTATTCCAGTTTGCCTGTTGGATTCGGCACGGTTGTAGCTTTTAGAAGAAGGCACTTTTTAAGAGAACTTTTTGCTCCGTTGTTTGAAAAACCTCCCTCCTTTTATGTAGCTGTGAAGTGTCACAGGCTTACCAGGGAGGTGAAATAGGCCTGGTGTTCCTGTAAGCAGGCAGAAGTTGCCAGCGTTTGTTTCACATTTGCGTGAGTTCTTCCACAGCACTTCACACTGTGCTGAATCAAATAGCTTTACTCCAAACGTTATTCTTCTGGCCGCAGTACCCTAAGAGAAGCTTTATTTTTTTAACTTGGTGGGTAAATTGCTTGCTCTGTAGTTGAAATGCGAAGTGGTGTGTTATGTTCCTAACCTTATCCGTGTTTGAACTGCTTGGAACTGCATCAAATTAGGGCTGTTTGGGTTTTTTACAGAAGTGTTTTGGGCCAGACAGCACTTCAGTCCTTTAGCTTACGAAAATCACTGCTTCTTTGTTCTCTAGAGCAGTTCAAGTGGTTAAAAGGGGTAATTCTGGTCATGTATTTTGAAATGACTAGAGACCGGAATGTTAAAACTCCCGGTTTCAGCTTGTAAATTATTCTTCATTTACTGAAGCAGGGGTTTGCACATATTTTTGACCAGAACTTATTAAATTTAATGTTAGTTTTACATTTGCAGTCCTACTTATGTTTACTTTTTCCAGTTGAATTTACTTTATCTAGTTGGATTAGAGAGACAGTCTAATTTTCCTGCTGAGTTAACATACTTTATCAAGTACCTATTTCTTGTTTCTTTGAAGACAGTAGTACCTTTTGAAAAGCTCTCTAGTCTAATGCACATACCTCTAGCAGTCTGCTTTATGCCAGTCTTTTCTTGTCTTAATGCTACTAGTTTTTGTAATTTTCATAAAATGTATGAAGAGCTTTTTTATGATTCTTAGTTCCTGTCATAGTTCTTAAAAACCAGGATCTGTTCTTCTTGCCTGATTAATTCAAATAATTCAGGTACATTAAAATAGTAATGTTTGTGTCTTTGCTTACTCTATTGCTACAGTTTATTTTAAGGGACAAAATACTTTTGTTTCACTCTTAGTTTTTGGAAATGATTGCTCATTCTTAGAACTGGATAATATATTTAGTTGAAAAATAAGCCTGATTAACAAAACTGTCTGCATTTCTTAAATGGGAGGGAACCAAAGCGCACACACACCCATATCCCCCCCAAATATTAAAGGAGCTTTCTATATGAAGGTTATTTTACATTCATTGTTTGCCTTTGCATGGATAATATAAATTGACATAGCAATCCCTTCCAGAGGGTGCTGAATAACATATGGACCTCATAAGTGATATTTTACGGCAGAAATAAGTCTGTCACGGGGATCCTCTGTAATAACTGTGGAGTGTAGAGAAATGTACTGTAAATGGATTTACTGTGTTCATCTGGAAAGCGCTGTTGCCCACGCTTCCAAATAAAAGCAGCAGTGAAATGAACTGTAATATTAACTTCATTCTGCCATTGCTTATCAAAACTGATAAAATTCCATTTTACATAACAGTCTGGTTACTACATAACCAGTGCAAAACTGAAATCTGTTTTTTTATATTTGGGAGTGGGGTTTCTTTGAGCATATGGATGTCTGCATGTTATTCTCTGTGTTTGTGGCAGTTGTTGTCTTACAAAGAGCGAGGTATCTTGTGTCACAGAGGACTTAATTTTATTAATATTTTTTCCCCTCATTTTATGTTGGTTTACACATACTAGATTTTTAGCAAGTGCAGAATTTGTGAAACTTAAAGGATGTATGTTAGGATATTCCTAGGCAAAACAGCTGTCTGCTCCGAATGTGTGCGTGTTTCCAGCATAATAGATATGTCTGGGTTTCTTAAATGTCTGACAAAGTAATGGAAAGTTCTTGTTTAATTACTTGTGTAGACTTGTAGCAAAATAACCTGTATGCAGCTTAATATACGGGAGAGGGGCTGAAGGTTTTCCATTTTTTCTCATGACTTCTAGATGCCTTGACAAGTGCAGATCTATAGAAGCTCCTGAAGCCATTTTTAGATTCAAAAGAGAGCAGGGGAGAGGGAAGATACCTGTTACATACTTCCAACTGAAAGTATAAATTTAATTTAAAAAGACACTGTCCAAACAAATAACTTGTAGAGCATTTAAACGAATTAATGCTGACCTGCTTTGATTCATACCCAGTAATCTCGATACCACACAAGGAATTTTCCATCTGAAGTTTCTGGTGCCCTCTGTAACGGGGAGGGAATTGTTTCTGCAGCTCAGTTACTCAGAATTGTATAGGCATCGTTGTCTTAAATGTGTAGTTTAAAATAAAAAATACAGGTATTTTGCCTGATTCCAACACTTGTCATCCTTTTTCATTTTCCTGTCTGCTTAACTCTATGCAAGATACATCCCTGCTGGAGGTAGTGGGGAAAATGAAACTGAGTTTGTGTTGTGTGGTTTGGTTATTTTATTTTTTTTTTGCTTTTTGTTCCAAGTTTTAATATCAGATATTACATACACAGTGCTTTGTTTCATGAAGACTCATCAACAGCTTTCTCTCTTCCCACCTCTCTAGCTAAGACTGAATCCTTGCAAATCTTTTATCAGAAAGTGGTTAGCCTTTGCCCCCTTCAGGTTCTGTGCCCTGTCTGCTCTCCTTCTGTCCCTTCCTCAGCATCCTGCTGTCTTCATGGTAGTGATATTTATTTGGAAAAGCATAGTCATGGTAGCTGTTTGCCTTCATAGCTGGTTTTGGTGGTGATTGTCTTTTATAAAGACAAGTTTGATACTGACCTAGTGGTTCTAATAGCTATTATCGTTCATTCTTCTGTGCTTGCATATGGAAAAACTGTTAAGGGTTTTTGCCTGATACGAAGTACAAATGACAGTTCATTAGCATTTCTTCTCTGAATGGTGTTTATTCTTTTTTTTTTCTAAAGGAACTTAGTGACTTAGCCCGAGATCCTCCAGCACAGTGTTCAGCAGGTCCTGTTGGAGATGACAGTAAGTAACCCTAAGTTCTGTGTTTTGCTGTGCTAACTCAAAACATATCATGCATAGATAATAATGCGGAGTTTTTCTTTTGTAGTGTTTCATTGGCAAGCCACAATTATGGGACCTGTAAGTATTCTAATTCTTGTGACGTGATACTAAACGAGAGTTCTTGTTCAGGAGGAAACTGGGGGGTTTTGTTTTCCTTTTAGTTCTAGAGGTATTCCTTACAAGAAATGAAGGGGGGGATCAGTCTGATGATACTTACTGCTGGAATGTTTTATGAGGACATTTCTTTCAGCTGAAATGATCTCTGAAGCAGTGTTAGGCATTATCAATATCTAGGAACTTTGTTGGCATTTAAATTTTTCTAAAATTTGAATCTAGCATGGACTTTGTACTAGAGCTGGTCCTAGTGTCAGGAATTAGTTGGGATGCCTTTGTTTGGATCTTAGAACAGGGAATTCTACTTGATCTGGTGTTGTGCACTGAGATCTTGAATGCTTTTAGGACTAGAAGGGGAGAAGTCACTGAAATGTGATCCGGCTATTACTGGAGGAAAAAAGTCTCTCTTAAATGTTCAACAAGCATCTGAAACCTGAATGTGACCTCTTTCTTGCTAGAATAAAGCAAGCAAATGTTTTTCTTACTGAAACCTTAACTTGCAAACACTTGACATCTGGAGTTCTCAGGGCTGGTTGTCTGTATTTAGGAAACAAAACCTTCTGTAATTTGAGAAGGCAAGTACTGAATGCCAGTAGACCTGCAGCTACAATATGGTGCTTCTGGTGAGACCACAAAGTAGGAATTAAATATTAGTGATGCTGAACTGCCTGACTTTAGTTACAAATGTGGTTTTAGGAGGTGGCTATGGAAAATGTGCTTATTAGAGGTTCACCTGACTGGAAAAGCGGCTTTCCATTCCAAAGTCCCTGGTCCTCATTGATTGCAGCTAGGTGCCTCAAAATGCTGAAGTTGTTTAATAGCTATATTCATGCTTAAATAGCAAGGAATGTTCTGCACTATACTGAGTATGATTTTATGTGGCTGGTGTCTGTGTGGACATAAGGTATTAAACATCAGTTGAATTTAAACTGGGATTATTATGTTTAGCTTCTCCTTCTGGTTTTAATAACGTACAGCTCCTTTTTACCCATGTGCTTTTTGTGCTGCCAAAAGGTCTGTGTTGCTGTTTCAGGGTTGGGCAGTATCCTGACAGAAGTGTGGTGTTAGTAGTTCTAGTGCTCCTGTGGTGTGGCAATCATCTGCAATAGGGTATTACAAAAGCTGTGATTTCCTTAAATGCAGGAGAGCTTCCGTTGCCTTAACACATTCTGAGAGGGGTTTGTGTAATTGCTAAAAATGTATTCCTGGAAAATGCCGAGTAAAAGGGTTGCTTTCTGGTTCCTTAAGGCCTCGCATAGTATCTGTTGACCAAATACAAGAGTTTGCATCTTGAGTGCTAGGTTTTCAGCAGAGATGAGATAGGGTATATGTGTTTTCAGGTTTGAGTACCTTGTCTTGTGTCACAGAATTTCATTTTCTGGTATTTAACTAAGATGTGGTTATTTTCTTACGCTGGTGAAATGTTCTTGCAATTAATATGAAAATTCAGTTTGCAAATAATTCACAAGTGTAGTCTGTATATCTCATTTATGTTCCCCAGTCATGAATCTAGAATTAAAAGCCTTATAGTCTTCAGGTTAAGCAATGGAATAGAATAGTTAACTCTGTATTTCAGAAATTTAGTTATAGTTTCAAGTAAAATTTCTTGCATATTTCTTCTTGTAACTAGTAACTCGCACAATTCCTATTTAGCCACTCCATTTATTCTCTGTTCAACTTTTTTACTTCCACATGTTGCTTTACTTCTAATAGTTAACGCCTGAATGAATTACCCCATGATTGTTTCCTTGGAGCAGGGAGTAAGCACTCAGACTTGATTACGGTGAATTTCTGAATGCAGAAAGAGAGGAAGAATTTACTTTAATCTTGATTATTTTTTATTTTTTTTTAATTGATGGTGCTGGAAGGGTAGCTTTTTTCTTACGTTTTGGGTTTATTTTTTTTGTTTTGCAAGGAGCAGAGTTAGCTGTGTATTCATTCATAGGTTTTCTGCAGGACTGAGCACTGCCTGAGCCAAGGACAAAACTTAGGAGGGAATAGGAGGCCTTTGGAGCTGTCCATGGCCACTGAAAACTGGATGGCCACAACATGTATCTGTTTTCTATGGATTAGCTCAGAGAAGTCCATATGAAAAGTGACCTGTATGTGTTCTGTATCATTTACCTTAGGAAGCAGTAATTGAATTTTAATTGTCTCTCTTGGTAGGTAAGAGAGAGAGGTCAGTTTTTTAAATAAATTTCCTGTTCTTTATTTATAAATAACATCTTGAGTGATATTTAGTTGTAAAGATGGTAATAGGAGAATTATTTGTTTGCTTTGACAGAATGACAGTCCATATCAGGGTGGTGTATTCTTCTTGACAATTCACTTTCCTACAGACTACCCTTTCAAACCACCTAAGGTAAGTATTGCTTTCTCAGTTGTGAAGTTAGCATTCTTTAAAGAACCAAGTACAGGACAGAAATTGTCACATCTCTGTTGCAGTATTGTCCAGTTCTCACTTCTTTTCATGCGTTCCTACAGTATATTAGATGACTAGGTCCCTCTCTGACTACCACAAGAACGGGCATGTATTTAAGAGCAAATTTGTATGTGTGAATTTTGAATGTCTTGGAATGATGTTTGGTTTTATGTCTGTGGGATTTTTTTCTTATTTGGTACAAAACTCATTAGCATTATATTACTGTAATAGAATTATTGATGAAGGAACTGTCAAGTATTACAGTGTAGCTGTTTGGGTTGGTCTATAGGAATGTGACACTATGGATAGGGATGCACTATGAGTGCCTAAAGTCAGTGAAGATGGTATTTGTTAGAATTTGGCAGTAATTGTGAAATATACTTAAATTTATCAAACATTAGCACTGTCTTCTAATTTTCAGTCAATGTGAAAGTGCGCACTTGGAGCAGCTGCAGTGTTTGAAGTTCTTTAGCTCTGTGATAGTAGTGTTACTGTGGTTCAGACACTTCTGTTGAGTTGTCTTCATCATGATGCAGGCACCTGTGATTCAAACAGAGAAAGGGCAAGTATGAGGCTGTGTTTTAAATAGTGCCTGGTGACTGGAACTAGTGAGAGGTTGTGGCTTGGGTGCATTTCAGTGAATTTGGTGCAGTTTAACTGCTTAATCCTTTTGTTTTAGAGTAAATGAAGTTGACTAATGACTAATGGCTTGACTGAGAAGAAAGGGGAATGTCATTGTCATCATAGACCAGAACACACTCTTCTTTCTTTTTTTTCTTTTTTGTTGCAGGTTGCATTTACGACAAGAATCTATCATCCAAATATTAACAGTAATGGCAGCATTTGTCTTGATATTCTAAGATCACAGTGGTCTCCTGCTTTAACTATTTCTAAAGGTAACTTTCATGAAGGAGAAATGTTTCCATCTTGTGTTGAATATTGTGCTTTTAGCTTTGATAGAGTTCTTACCCATCTCTTGATTTCCCTTACTTGTTCTAGACTGTTTTGCCAATTTGCTATCTTAATGTGTTTTTCATGCCTGCTGCGTGGCTGTTGAAGGCCTTGTCTGGCCACTTCCTTGCTTCAGGATTCTTAGCAGAGCTTACTGGCTTAGTCCCAGAGGAATCTGTCAGTGTTAGGATAGAAACAGGCTTGTGGTGGTATATTTGAGTTAAGGCTGGGAAACTGTTTGCATCTATCCATGTAGATGCACACTTGCATATTAATTTAAAGGCATTTTAGTAATGAAATCTGCATGGTTTTTTGGCTGAGTCAGTCTAGAATTACATGCAGGGTTATATTGGAATATCTTTGTGGTAGAATGAGTGAAGAATCTGTTACTGATACACATTCCTTTCTGCCATTGCGCACTGTGGCATTGTATTACATCATGAACTAAGCTTACTGATTCTACTTCAGGATAAATTGATGTGCTACAATAGAAGCTTTGTAGTTTTTGTCATTTTACTATAGTAAATAACAGTTAATATTCAGATATTTTGACTATGATCAAATTTTGGTTTGCCTCAAAGCCACTGGTCACTGTGGCTTCAAAAGATCCATCAAAGTGCTCCTTTGTCTATAGAACTTGTAATTCCTGTCTGTCCAAGGAATCGGTTTACTTTTTGAATGTGGATTCCGTATGTTTTAATGCAGTCACTATTGTTTTTCTTTCAAAGCTGCTGTGAGGGCAGAGGATAAAGTCATCCTATCTGCCTACAACAGCGTTACTCCTTTACTTTACAACGTACATGTAGTTTTATCAGTGCAGACCAGAGTATTGCTACCTTACATAAACCAGGGAAAAAATTCAGTCTGATTTGAAAATAAATAATAATTCTAAAAAGTTCTGGGTTTAGTGACTAAAAGCATGGAATGTGCTGGTCATCAGGATACATAATAACATGATTTTGTTGGCCACTACATTGCATCATAGTGCTGGTCTTGTGTGCTTACTGACCGCTCTTAAGTATTGGGAAATAGGAAACAAATAGTTCTTACGAACTTTGTCATTCTGGGCTTTTTATTTAGAGTGGATTACAAATTTTGGCCTTGTATCAGGAAAAGGCTGTTTGGGTTCTATCCTGTGCTGACAGTATGTTAATGCAAAGATCTGTGCTCCATGGTTTCTGAGATTGTTACTCCTGGTTTGCTCCTGAGAATTCAGTTCTTTCTTTATTTTTTTGTTACAGTTCTCTTATCCATTTGTTCACTGTTATGTGATCCAAATCCAGATGACCCACTAGTGCCAGAGATTGCACGTATCTATAAAACAGACAGAGACAAGTAAGTACAGAGGCACAGAGTTGTGTAAGACTTTTGAAAGAGTGCATTGTCACACAGCTATTGTTGAGTGAGCCTTTTGTGAAAATCTGGGATGGAGAGAACTTGTGTGTCAAAGGAGTACCTATTCTTGGTAGTGCATAATTTAAAAACAACGGGGATTAGTATCTTTGAAGTTGTGGGTTTTCTCACATGTGTGGCAGTATGTCAAAGCATATTATTGCCCAGGTTTTTTTATTACCATGTATAAATAGACTATAGTCAAATCTTCATATTGAGGAAAAGCTAGCTTTGTTATTCTGTTACTTTCTTTTGGTAGCAGCTTGCTGCCTCATTGTGGTGCTCCCCTTGGAAAAAGGCTGCATAACTTTTCGTGTCTGTGTTAAAACAACTTTTTTTTTTTTCCTTTATGTGGTTTTAACAGTTTTCACAGATAGAATTATATGAAGTAGATTGTTTTTTTATATAAAATATTAATGCTAAATATACTTGTCCAATTAGGTACAATAGGTTAGCAAGAGAGTGGACAGAGAAATACGCTATGCTGTAGGGTAAGAATATGTGCACATTATGGTGCATTTAACAAAATGGAAACTTGTCAGCACTTGGGTGCTGCATGCTCTAAGGCACTGGATTAACTAACAGATAATTGATGCACCAGTTATATTGAACTTGTATATTTAACAGCTTGATCTGTGGTTAGTGTGAAATGTATCGGCTAGTCACTATTTCTCACAGATACTGCTCTTGCATGGCCAAAAAGAAAAAAAAGATAGTATGAAATAATTACCAAGTTTTGAGACAGCTTGTCAATGTGTTCTGATAAGTATTTGCCCAGATTTTGTCAGAATGTCATTAAAAGTGATGCCCTGTAGCAGGACCACTTGCATAGACATGAGTGAATTTAGACAATCTAAACTTTAACTTTTTATTCTTCAGCAGCATCTGTCTTCCACATACAAACTAGGAAAACGTATGGGGATTATGTTCTGCTTGTATAGTTGAAAATTAACTTCTTACTGACAAGCATGGAGTTAAGTATAAACTAATTGTGAGCTCAATTCCTCTGGAAGTAGTGTAGTTAAATATTCTTTTAATGTCCTTTTTAAAATTGCTTGAGCAATATACTCATGTGGAAAGAGAAATATTAAGTGTGAAGAAATGCTTAGTGTTGTTACTCTCTAAAATGGGAAATTTGACATTCTGTATCCAGTGACATTATTAACCAAGTAATCTTTACTTATGGCATGTGATACTCTGTAAGGTTTACCTAAGGAGAATATTTAAACAAAATGCTCTCCTTGCCTCTCCCACCCCAGGTAGTCTCTTTCTTCCCCTTCAGTAGTTTTTCACAACAGATTTCTAGCAGATGGGCTTGTCTTGAATTTAGCATTTCATGTAGATGAGAGGATATCCTAGTTACTTCAGGGAGGGATTTTCCATTTTTTCAGTTCCAAGTATATCTTAGTGTAGAAAGAACCTTCTCTTAGTGTGAAGGGAATGGGGAGATGGGTATTAAGTGATGTAATCATGGACTGTTTAGGAAATTCATTTTCATGCTGACACCTGTTCCTGTTTTTGTTCGCAGGTACAACAGAATATCTCGGGAATGGACTCAGAAGTATGCCATGTGATGCTACCTTAAAGTCAGAATAACCTACATTATAGCTGGAATAAACTTTAAATTACTGTTCCTTTTTTGATTTTCTTATCCGGCTGCTCCCCTATCAGACCTCATCTTTTTTATTTTTTTGTTTACCTCCTTCCATTCATGCACATGCTCATCTGAGAAGACTTTAGTTCTTCCAGCTTTGGACAATAACTGCTTTTAGAATCTGTAAAGTAGTTACACAAGAACAGTTGCCCAAGATTCAGAATTTTTTTTAATGGAGCATGTGTATTATGTGGCCAATGTCTTCATTCTAACTTGGTTATGAGGTTAAAAACAAACATTCCTCACTGCTCTAACAGATACTGAAGATATCACCTGCAGGGGGGAGGGGAGATGGATGTTCATTTTTCTCTCATCACAGAAGTAACATTGCTGTAGCAACATCCATCTTGTTCCAAACCTTCCAGTGTTAGAGAACTGAGGTTTTATTATATACTTTTGCTCATAACTGATGTGTCTGGAGAATTGGTATTGAATCTATAGCATCAGCAGAACAGAAAATGTGATGTATCTTATGCATGTCAATAAAGGAATGACCAGTTCTTGTTTTACAGAGAATGGAAATTGGAAGTCAAACATCCCTTGTATTCCAAAAATAGGGTCTAAGAACATTTTTGTAATTCATTTAAATTTTGTTAGGAGGCTTGGAGCTATTAGTTAATCTGTCTTCCAGAACACTGTTTAATATAAGCACTGAATAAATGATGCAAGTTGTCAATGGATGAGCGATCAACTAATAGCTCTACTAGTAATTGATTTATTTTCTTCAATAAAGTTGCATAAACCAATGAGTTAGCTGCCTGGATTAATCAATATGGGAAACAAAATCTTTTGTAAAAGCAAAGCTGGTTTTTGTATATACTGTTGGGATTTGCCTCATTGTTTAACATCAAATAATGATGTAAAGTTCAATAGAGTAAATCTTTTGCCATTTTCAGTTACAGTGCTCAGTCTGTTGCAGGTTGACACATTGTTCAGCCTGATGTATGCAGAATTAATAAGCTAACATAGTAGTGTAGCCTTAGTAGTGTGCTACACTTGGTGCTGGGAGCCCAGCGTTCAAGGATGGACTTGGGACCCAGCAGATCAGAAGTGGTGTATTGTGGAGATGCTTCCTGATGCACCTGTGTTTGCTGACTGAGAACCTTTTTCTTCACATTGTACACTTGACAGCTGAAAGATCTTAATGTGGGAGTAATGATGAGGCAAAAAAATATAAAATAAAGTACTGTTTTGATGTGGGAATTGTCATGAGGCTGTGTTGAAGTGACTTTACTATGTGGGATGTTCGTTACCATTGAAAAGGACTTGTTCAGCCATGCTGCCATTTACATTGATGACTATTTTAATGCAACAGACACTTTCTTCATGTCAGGTGACTAAACGTGAATAAAGACTCATTGCTGTTGGATTTTTGTTCTACAAGAAACATTGTCTTGTGCCATTAGTTTATCTTTGCAGCAACAAGGGCATTATTAAACATCTGGCTCTCCTCTTTCCTGCCCTCTTTCTTCATATTTTCCCTTGTTTGGTTATTTTTTGTCTCCATTCTTAAGATCCATAGCTTCATTTTCTCTAGTCCTGTACTATCACTTTATTGTGCATCTGTGACTTCGCACTGGCACCACTTTTGCACTGCTTATAGTTATGTACATTCTGATTCCTTGTCCCCACATGGATGTGGAAAGCTAGATGTAAAATAAAATGTTAAACCTTAATTTTTATAAAAATTTCAACATGTAGTTTGGACATGGTTTGTTCTGGTTCTAAACTATGAAAGTGAACTTTAAAGTCTAGTTGGCTTGAAATTTAGAAACCTGGGCTCTCTTTTAACAGTGCATGCCTCACTGAAATGACATTCTGAAATTTGTTGGTGAAGTTGCAGTCCATGCAGTTTTTCTGCTTTGCTAACCAAAGATTTTTTGCTTACACCAGTAGCATTACAACTGAGGTAGAAGTTTATATTTCTAAGCTTGCAAACGTGTTGCTGTCTCCTGTTTTGGCAGTTATGTCCATTTGATGCTTATTTGTCTTGGTGTCATAGCCACTGAAATCACTTATGTGATCAATTAGAAAAATGTTTTGTGAGATATAAGGCACCAGGCTTTATAAAACTCAAGGAAGTGTGGATGAGCCAGGATCAGGGAAGGAGGAGATACTAGGATGTTACATGAAAGTTGGAAACCTTGTTTGGACCACTGTGTTCTCTTCTGCATCAGTAGTGGTCCTTCTGTGATAATTTTCTGTAATTTAGAAGGTATGTATTTTGATGAAAGTATAGTGGGTGAATTGTAGATGATATGCATTGCCAGAGGTCAAACTGAGATTGAAGATCTTTGTGAAGTAAGAAATGGCAGGTGTTTTGTCCTTGAAGTAGTCTCAATAGTGTCTTTTGCAGGCTTCCTGTGGAGGTTATATTTGGGCTTGCTTTTCAAGTAGGGGAGGAGGAGGTGGTTAACCATGAGCTAATAAAGAGATATCAAAAGAACCTTAGCGTTTTCCAAACCAAAAAGCTTTATTAGTGGCCAGCTCAGTGAGTGATCTGTGCACCCAGAACTGCAGATAGTCTAAAAAGTGCATAGTACTTGCACTTGCAGAGGGAAAAGAGACTTTTGGGTTGAACTTCATGTGAGAAATGAAGGGTTTGGAAAATATTGGAGTGAGTTACCCTTACAAGCTCTGTTAAAAAGACTTATTTCAGGATGATAACTGCAATAATGGCTTCAGAATAGAAAGGCCAGCTCAATCCTTGTTCAATTCCAAGTCTTGAATTGAATAAGGGTTTTTCAGCAGCTTTTATTTGAGAGTATTTCTGGAGAACTAAGTGTCAAACCAAGGCACTTGGATTCAACAAGCATGTAACAAGGAAAGAAACTTGTATTTCAAGGCTGTTTCTGGAATAATTTTTTCAAAGATTTTTTGCTGTGTTCAAGTGGGGTTTGAATTTGCCAGCACAATTCTAGTCAGCTTATTCAAATTTCACTTGGAAAACTTTTAGTGGTTTTAAGCACATTTTGGAGCCTTTTTAGGATGTAGTGTTGCTTAGGGTTGTTTTTTTCTTTTCCTGTCTGCTGATGCACACAGCATCTTCTGTGTTGGTTAAAAAAATTAGTATAAACACATCTTTGTGTGCATGTAGAAACATCCTACTCAGTTGCACTGTGCGTGGTTTTTATATAAAGGCTATAGATGCTGACTCTCTGAAGTCTGGCTTTAAGCAGACCACAACAGTACGATCTGATTGCTACGGAGGCATGGAACTACAGTCTGGCAAATGATTAAGAGAACTAGTTAGAGGTGTGCAGGTGTACTATGCTGGCTGTTAGGTTTGATAATTGCTTATGCAAAAAGGAATCTGCATTAACAGATAATGGTTTAAGCATTCACAGCCAAAAATGTTCTGAATAAGATTTTATAAAGTATAAGCTTTTTTATAACATTTATATCATATTCTTTTCTGCAGCCTCTGCTCAATTATTCTGTTTTATTTCAAATCCTTCACTGTTACAAAAAATAGTGTTTTACAGCATTGTCACCTGAAGCAGATACTATGGATCCATCAGATATGGCTAGTGATTCAGAAGAAGTCTTGTCTGCAAGTCCCTAATTAAAGCTTAGCAGAAGTTAAAATTCAGCTGAAGATTTCTTGTTGTGTTTAAAGTTGTCAAAAAAATAAATCTAAATTCAGGTTTTTTTTCCCTGGTTTGTGTTTTATGCAATAAAACTAGGCTAAGACAACAGTCTCCATTAGACTTAAGCAAATAAGCAACAACGGAATAAATAATCCAGTAACGGATATTAAGGTATAAAGGTTACTTCACTAAAATAGACTACTAATTCCTTCAAGCCTGAAAACCAAAAACCTGCAACTGGAATAATTTGCTTTATGCTGTTCAGTTCTTGGTGTCATTGAATGGATGCTATTTTACCCCTGTGCCTTCCACATAAATACATAGTAGGCATAAATTGCCAAACAGTTGGATTTGAATCTCTGTAGGCAGTTGTTGCATAAATACACAAAGGGAGTTGGAGTGATGGCTGAAATATTTCATGTTGGCAACAGTGCAGGACCGATGCAGGGAAAGCATGGTAACACAGGACACAAACCTGGCTAATTGTGTAGAAGAGAGAGAAGGCACAGAAGGTAATGTTATTGTGAAGTGAAAATGCATTCCTGTCAGTTCATGAAGTCTGTAGGGTAAAACCAGCTGGCTTCAAAATAATCTAGAATAAGGTTATATCTGATAAATTGGAATTTTAGGTGTCCAGGTTAGCCTGTCAAATAGCAGTTCAGATGTAGCCTCAGGAAGAGCAATTCAGTGTAGACAGATGTGCTTTTGGGGGTATGTATGGAACAAGCCAGTGCTGAGACTTGCCATTCTCCTTTGTAAATGTTGCACTAATTCTGGTCTTATGTCATTTAGAAGCAAACACTCAGTCCTCTGCAGGGGTGGTTCAAAGATGCCAGCTATTTTTGTGCTGCATGGGTGACACATGGGTTTTTAATATGCATTGGTTGTGGAGGGAAAGAGTTTAGCTTCCAGGTGAGCAGCAGTAACTGCTGTAACTGTTTAGAACAGCTGTCTGTCTTGATTAGGTTAGAAGAGGTGACAAATGTCATCTTTACAGTGATGGGTGCCAAAAATTAAACTGAATTTGATAGGACAGTTCTGTGTAAAGTAGTAATTGCCTTTTTTTTTTCTTTTTTTAAGGGTGTTTTTTCAGAATAGCTTGTTTTGTTGTTTTGGTTTTTTTTTTCTGTCCACTGGAAATGCTGCTGATTCAGTACCTTCTTCAAACTGAAGAATTTTAGTTTGTGAGGGGAGGAAGCTTCGTCAGGAGACATAGTGTTGATACGAATGTGTTGGTTTAGCTTTTAACTGAATCTAAGTCTAGGGTTGTACCTGATTGCCTGTGGGAGAGTAGGCTACTCCTTAAATGACTGCTGTTGAGATTGAAGCTCTGTACTTAAGGATGCTTATCATCTAGGTAATTATGGCTTTTGTCTCAACTTTATTCATCTTTGAATTAACCATACATTGTCCCATTGCAGAGTTCTGTGCCTCTATGTCTGTCTCTGTGAGAAGTTTGTTAAAGTCTTGCACATCTTAAGCACGTCTGTCTGGTCTAATTAACGTGCCTCGACAAACTTAGAAGTACAAATTTTATCTTTTGTCTGTTTTGTTCTGCTTCTGTATTACCTGTGTTTTTCCACTCCACCCTTCAGTTCTTCTCCTTACTGTGAAGCCCAGTGAGGATTTCATTATTTAAAAAATGTCAGGATATTTCTATTAGAACCCACAGTACTGATCTCTCAGAGGTTTGGAATTGAAAAGCCAGAGAACAAACCATATAGAAATAGATTAGCCAGGTCAATTAAAATAGGGGTGTGTGAGAAACGTGATGTTTGGAGAAAAGTTTTCTTGCTTCAGTGGTGCTATAATGAGAAAATCTTGCCGCAGAAGCTTATGAAGGCAGTGTGCCATCAGTGTATATTAAGCCACTGTCTGATTTTGCAAATCTCCTGTTACATGTAGTAGAAATAAATACAAGCCCTCCAAGAGAATGAAAGTGGTTTTGCGTAAGCTTATTTTGCAAACTATTATGGTATTTTTTAATGTAGTAGTAACACTATAAAATCTTCAAGATACAATAATTCTGTATAGTTGGGGTGCTTAAATACATTTAGCTTTGCATAAATAATGAAGGAAATTTTATACACCTGGGAGATGGAAGTTTGATATTGGTAACTAGTGCTATAAAAAGCAGGACAGTCTCCCATGGTTTGTCTGCAAAGAGAAGCTAACTGAAATGTGTAAGTGTCCTTCAATCCCAATTTTTGTAGTATAAAAATCCTTTGGTTTGGGAGTTCACAGTTTGCTTGGAATGAGTTCCAAGTTCAGTGACACGTTGCCATGGGACAAGTGCAGACAGGGAGTTTAACCGGTGTAAAAGGTAGAACTTTCTTGTGTAAATTAATCGTAACCCCCTGTTTCTATGGTTGACTGTACTAACTTGTGCTTAATGTTTTTTACAGTTTGAATTTTATTTCATGAGGATACCTCTATAATGATTTATGTTTCCTGAGAATCCATTCCAAATTCAGTGAAAGCTGCACATCTGGGTATCCTCACCAGACAATCAAAAGCAACTGAATTAGAACATAGGTAGGTAGGTGACTGTTACTTAATTTAGCTAGGCTTTTTTCCACTACTACTTCATATGTGCTGCACTTCACACTCAGAATTGCTGTTTCAGTGCAAAAAAAAAAATAAATAAAAAGGGGATTTTCATAATCCTTTTATTTTTAAAGTGGGAAAGAAGAAAAAATGCATTGTTTGGATTAACCATGAATGGTGTGAGCAAATTGAAGCTTTAAGAAAATGCAGTTAACCCTGAGGTTATATTTTTGCACATAATACTCTTTCT